ATGACTTGTTTCACGGATGTTCTACCACATTAAATATAAATATAAGTGGTTTAAAAAAAGTATGTGTTGCTCATTAAAAATTAATTGTAATCATTAGCAAGGTGTTGTGGTAGAAAAGGAATAAAACGCACTATAAGAGCACACCCCTTGGGGGACTGCAGGTTCGAATCCTGACAATGCCAGAGTCATCTGTCTCTTCCTTGTCAATCAGAGTGACATTAACCAGTCATGCACGTGTGTGGCCATGTATGTGGAAGAGGGCAGATAGAGCTTTCCTCTGAGTTTGTTACACGGCCCTGTGATGCAGCACGAGCAGCAGTTCGAAAAGATGCTGCAGCTGGCTTAACCTGTCTGGGAGGAACCAGGCGAAAGCCCTAACCCTCCCCAGGTGGTAGCTGTCATGTGATAGAGAAGAGCTAGTGGGTGGGAGTTGGCGGATGACCAAATTGCGGAGAAAATGTTTAATTCCTTACAGAGCTACCTGTGGTAGCTCACAGTGGCAGCAAGGTAAATTCAGTCAGCCACTAAGTCAAGCTGTCTTCATAGAAGGTATCAACAATTTATATTGAAAAAAGATATTTTTTGTAAAAACAGCTGTCGGCTATGTGCAACCTTGTAGGCACATTCACGAAATATTATATCATAACTTATCCCTGAACTTCAAAAAGGCAAACATCATTAAAGGTATTGTCCTGAAGAATAAAACACTTACGTGTCTCCGTCTTCATCCTGGTGTGTTGCCAGATCTACCTCATGCCGCAGGTGATTAGTATCTTCGAATGGGTGAAGCTGAGCCGGTCTACTTGTATACACGTGAGATGGATCATATGTAAGGTCTATAATGATGAATAAGCAAAAGAACCATTAAAATCCACAAATATGCCCTAAAGACTGCATATAGGTTAGCTAGTATAACATCATCCAACTCAAATTACTACAGAGAAACTCGGTTGTATAGCAACAGAGCATTCATTACAACAGTAGCTCAATCATTGCATTGGGACAGAATATAGCAAGAAAGTTCTGGATTGCAGTCTGAAACTTTCTGTACGTTTAGCTTCAAGGCAACCTTTTCTGTGAATTTTCTGGTTAGACGTTTAGGCTACAGCAGCACTGTAGACTGATCTGAAACGCTGACAGGGCTGTTTTCCCCAGAAGCAGTTGGGATCTCACTCACAGTCAGCTGCTGACCCACTGACATGTTCTTCAGGGGGCTACTAAGCAAACCGAAAACTTCCTGTTGATTTACAGAAAGGTTTCACAATGACAGCATGCACTTGCTGGACTGACCATGACTGCGCAATCTTCTTTTTGCGAAACTTTCTTTCTCTCTCTCTATCGCTCTCTCTCTCTCTCTCGCGCACACACACACACACACACACACACACACACACATGTACACGCACACACATGTACACGCACGCGAAATTGGAGTTGGGAAGGTGTGGGTATCAACTTTAAATTGCCAACGCACGTGCTACAAAAAAAGTTCATCACAGTGATAAAACAATAATAACATCACGTGCATTTATGTATGTTGCAGCCTATATATCATAATGTATACTGCATGCATAGGCTATATGACTATGTGACATGAACAGTGCATGGGGAATAAACATCATTTGTGTCCAGATCTCTATACAATGCGTCGTGTTTGGCTTTCAGGCAAAACAGCAATTTATCAGTTTCTCACGATTCTATGTACAAATGCATGAAACAGAGAGAAAAGTTCGGACTCACATGATGGAGTGGTTGGTGCTAGCTGTAGATCGCTTTGCGCTCCTGCAGGAACCGCACTCGGAACAAACTGCTGCGTCTCCGCGTTCAGTCCATTGCGGACTCTGCTGCACTTGGGCACTTTGGCAGGACTAGGACTTGAGTCTGTCTTTAAAACCTTGCCCGGTGGCTCTCCCAAAGTGCTTTCTGACTGGTCCTGAGGTTTATGGTCCGGACGGACCGGACGTTTTCTTATCGGAAGTTTTGAGGTAGAGGTCTCCGGCGACTTGCCATCACTGTCGGTCAGCCTCTCACACTTCACATTAGACGGTAGGAAAGCTTGGCCACGACTATCCTTGCATTCTTTGCTGCCCGGTTTTATCGCAGAGGAAAAGGAAGGAGATCCTCTGGAAGTGCACCCCACCTCCTCGATCTTTGGTGTCCGATCTACTATTTCTCGTGTTTTACTTGGTCTTGTAGTCCGATCTGTGATGTCTCTTGTTGTGGTCCTCAGGTCGAGCGGCGCAGATGCTTCAGTGTGAACACCGCTCATGGTCATGGTCATGAATCGTAAATAAGCTCCCTTAAAGATGACCTTTGCCTTTTTATTCAGCCCGGTGGCATCTTAAATCATGTTACAGGGGCATAAAGCAAAACTCAGGAAAAAAAAAATCCGATAAAAATCATTCGATCTGTAGGTTCCTACAGTAGCTTGTTAAAATAAGCCACGCAGAAAAAAAAAAACAAAAACAAAAAAACAACCAATACATAACACTAACCACAATAACGAGCGACTCATGTAACTACTGTTACTAAAAACATTGCTTCATTCTCATTAAATACACTCTGGAATTGGATTACTATAGGATGACGTGCGTAATAACGCGCAACACGTAGCCTGCTATCCTCAAGGGTCAAAAACACTGCGCACTGTCGCGGATTGGATTAATCTGATGATCTGAACGTTTAGTTTCTGTTCTCTTTCTTTCTTCACACACACACGCACACACACACACACACACACACCCGCACACGCGCGCGCACAGAATGGGGCTTTTCCCTCGCACGAGTCTTCATTTGTCAAGCGAAACCACCGCATTTTAATCGCTGTACGATACGCCACGACCAGGACGCATATCCCTTCTGGACATGTCCAAGGCGCAGAAAGACACTATGGTCATTTACAAGGCATTGTAGGCTCATTGTCTTACAGAGAAGTCAGTGTATTTTGTAACATTGAGTCTATTCTATTGAGTCTGAAATGAACCACTTTCTTGGCTTCGTTGCCGGTGAAATATCGAGTCTGCAGTGTGTACTGTAAATGCACCTAGCTTTGTATATGTCTGTAAAGTCTATTCCCACTAACTTTGAAAACGCATGAGTGAATCGACGCATTTCAGCAGGACCGCTGTTCTGTTCTCGGTAGCGGTAATCTTATCGCATGGATTCACCATTTGCGCGCTTTGCCGCAGAAGGAAGTGGACAGCCCATGGGGATCTCCCTCCTCTGCCTCTTATCGGGAAGCCTTCTCTTCTCAACTTCTTCCTGTACAATCCTCAGCGGATCAGAGCGCAGCTGTTATTTGGGTACAAAAGACAATTCGGTTCTTGCAGAATGTCATGTTCTCAGTAATACCTGATGATGACTAAATCTCATTCACCGTGTGGCTGAACACATCTGCCAGTGTTTGTCTTGGACCACCTCTGTGGTGTTTTCACCCCCACCCTTTTCCCTCTTAAAGTCTTCACTAGCTGTGAGATTTCATTTACCTGGGCCCATTTGGGACTTTCCTGAACATTATGGGTGAATAGACTGTCAAACGGAAAGGCTTAATGAGCCCTAAAGTCCCTAAAACACCATAAAGAAGCGCTGGTGATTATTTTGGCAGTTTGTGACCTGTAATATCATCTCCATGCCATGATAGCATACCACTGAGAAACCCACACTCATGGGAATCCAGGCTGTAAACAGAAGTGAAAAGCTTCTTAGACCTTCGCAAGAATCATTTGCATAACTGCACACAGAGAAGTAGGTAGTTTCCTAAAGGACAGGAGAAGTATGAGCGCAGGCAAGGGCCAGCAACAGCCTAAAGCAATACCCCTTAATGGAAAAGTGTCCCGAGGTTCGAGCTTTACTCATGTTCTTTTAAAGGTCAGATCTAAATTCTAACAATACACATACAATACAATGCACAAAATACACAAAAATAAATGCATCCATCCATTTTCTGTACCGCTTATCCTACACAGGGTCGCCAGGTAGCCTGGAGCCTATCCCAGGGGACTCAGGACATGAGGTGGGGGACACCCTGGACAGGGGGCCAGCCCATCACAGAGACAAAAATAAATAAAATATAAAATAGTATATAAAAAATCTAATACATTGAGAGTATTGTAATATTTTATAGCTGTCCATGCATTAAAAAGTTTTGTGTACCAGAGCTGTGGCTTTGTCATAATGGAAGCACATATCCAAAGGACAAATTGTACAAATTGTACACCCAAGCTGTGAATATATCAATTAAACAAGAGGTAATTTGACAATAAAGAGGGCCCTCTGCTGACCAGAGTCGATTAACACAAAATATTGTTTTAGATAGGCGACATCACTGTATGCTATATTCAATTAAGAGAGCATCCTGAAATCTTTTAAAAATTGTTGTTAAATCAGCCTTTCAGTAATATATTGAGATGTTCATTTTGTAACCAGTTATCATAGTCGACTTGAAAAGTGTTCAGATTCAAACATTTGCACCCTCCGTGATAGCTACTAGTGCAAAGTGCATTTCATATTAAGCTGCTGAAATGCAAACTGGTGGCAAATTAGTTCGTTTTAAACTATATAGTTTTAAATTAAACTTTTTATGACTCTTGATATAGGGAAAAAGGACTGTAGAAATCACCACAAAATATAAAAATACATTGCAGTATGATTGAGGGGCATGTTTGTAATAAGGCATCCCGGGTTGCCTGCTATCCTCAGGGGGTTAAAACACTGTGCACTGTCATGGCTTGGATTAATCTGTTGATCTGAAATCATTTTCTCAGTTGTGACCAGATATACATAGCATAAGCGGTCACTTAGGGACCCATGATTTTTACAATAAATATGCAAAAAAAGCACACAACTATCATTTGTCAGAAAGGTTTATGTATCAGGCAGTCTCTGGGGGGTCCCCTTGTGGCAGAAAACACAAAAAAGAAAAAAGCAGAAGAGGAGAAACAGATCCAAAACACATCACATAAGAAAATTAATGCGAAGTAAGTGCATTTAGTCAGTCTGGGTCCCTGGAGGACTAGTGGTTAGGCCTCGGTACTCTTACTACCACAATCTGGGTTCAATTCCTGGCCAGGGAACAACAAAACGATGCACACCCAGTGCCGGTTCCAAGCCTGGAGAAATTTGGGGAGATGAAAATTGCGTCAGGAAGGACATCCAGTGTAAAAACTGGCGACCCCTAATGGGAGCAGCCGAAAGAAGAAGAATTTCATTGAGTCAGTTTGTCTGCTTTCTTGCTTCCTCTTCTTAGTGTAACTGAGGTGGAATGGTTATGTGGCTAGCTAGTAAGTAGAGTAAAACCTGTAAGTTGCTACTAGCTATGGCCTGTTGACTTTAAAGATAATCACTGCGCTGGTGGTTGAAACGTCAAACACTTACAGTTCTTTTCAGTACTCTAGCAACTCAGATGATCACATCCAGTCAAGAAAGGATTTTCCTGAGTTCAAACTTTTCACCATGCTAAGTAGCCTAATGGTGTAATGGTCATTTTTCAGGTGGTATAAGAAACCAGCCAACTCAGAGTCATTGTCACAGTCAAACCCAGCTTCATTTTAAAGTTAGCAATCAGTTTGAGAATGACTTTAGTCTGTGTTCCAGTGACACAACAATCCCAAAATAATCATGGCCTACATATGCTGAACTTTATCACCATGGCCTATAGGCAGTGGATGCCTAGCCCTACACTGACACACCACTCCATGAGAAAGATCACTTCCTCATGAGCATTAGTTAAATGACATACCACTTGAGGAAGTTTGTGCTGCTGAGATGTAGGCATGACTGTGCACTTCCTCTAGGATCAACAAGGTTAACAGCACCCCTTCCCAGTGGTATGAGTGCAGCGGTCAGTAGCTTTCCAGTTAGTCCTATGATGTGTCAGATCTTCATGACAATGTGGCTTACATTATGAGATGAAATAGAATCCTAATTACACACGCAACTGTGGTTCTAGGAATCCTGGAACCAACGCCGATCCGAAAGGAACTCAGCAAGAAGGTCCCAGGAAAAGGTACCTGTATGACAGTGGTATTTACTATAAATACTGCATCATTTGTCATATCATGTGCCCTTTGGCATGTGTGTGCACAAGAAGGTATCCATGTGATTCTCACTGCTTCTGATGGATATTTAAGGTTCAGAGAACTACGGTTACATACGTAACTTGCTTTTAAATTATTATCCTTTTTTTTTATTCCAGCATTAATGTTTTTTGAATAACAATGTATTGGGGAGCACGTTGGCTCAGAGGGTAGCATTGCCACCTCACAGCTCCAGAGTCCCCAGTTTTATTCTTAGCCTGGTTTACTACCTATGCAGAGTTTCATATGCTCTCTCAATGTCTTCCAAGTTTTCTGGTTTCCTCCAACTTCCCAAAAACATGCCAGTAGGTGGATTGGCTAAATTGCCCTATGTGTGAATGAGTGTGTGTGCATGGTACCCTGAGATGGACTGGCATCCCATCTAGGCTGTATTCCCACCTTAAGCCCAGTTCCTGGGATAGGATTTCCATTATTCAGTGCAGTGACATGCTTTCCCTTGAATATTTAATGACACAGTGCACTTACTCTGCACGTGAAGAGTAGTAGACGCAAACTGTGAAAAACACTATTAGGTCAGATTGTCAACAACCACAAGGTGTTTACACCAAGTTTGACCAAAGGTGTTTCCCCAGAATATTCTGAAACCTGGCTTAGACCAAATGAATACATTGGTCTGAATGCGTCTACTCCGTCAGGATATTCCTATAAGCATGAGCCCCGTCAGACTGGTCATGGAGATGGTGCTGCAACTATCTATAACAATTTTCTTACTGTTACTCAGAAAACAGGACCCAGGTTTAACTCATTCGAAGTGCTTGTCCTCAATGTTGCACTCACCGACATATTTTGATTTTCTTAAAGAATTTGCACATTTACTCTCAGACCTGCTGATTAATTTCGAGTTGATAAAGTGTTGATTGTAGGAGACTTTAACATTCATGTTGACGATGCTAACGACGAGTTAGGACTCGCATTTATGGACTTATTAAATTCATTTGGGGTTATCACCTCTTAGTATACACTCTACCTGTAGAACATATTAGCCAGGTCCCTCCACGTTATCGATTCGGTAGAAATTTTATTCCGACCACTAAAGACAGATTCACATGTAATCTGCCGGATCTGTCTCAATTTCTCACTAGACCCCTACATACAGATGATCTACATGAAGTGACTATCAGTATAGGCACTATTTTCACCAGCACACTAGACACTGTTGCCCCCATCCGATTAAAAAAGGTCAGAGATAAAACACCTGCACCATGTTACAATAGTCACACTCATGCCCTCAAGAGAGCAACCCGTAACCTCGAGCGAAAGTGGAGAAAAGCTAAATTAGAAGTTTTTAGAATTGCGTATAAAGACAGTATGTCTAGCTATAGACAGGCTCTAAAAGCTGCTAGGGCCGAGCATCTGAGCAAACTGATAGCAATAAACCAAAACAATCCCAGATTCTTATTTAGTACAGTGGTTAGACTAACAAAACATCAGATATCTGAAGAGAGTATTCCATTACAGTTTAGTAGTGAGAAAAAATTTATAGTATCAGGAACAAAATACTGGATGTTCAACCTTTGACAGCATCCTGTGATCTAGTCCAGCCTAAAGCTCCACATTTAGTGTTAAAATGCTTTACAGGTATAGGACAGGAAGAGCTTTATAAACTTATCAGCACGGCTAATTCAACAACGTGTTTGTTAGATCCAATCCCAACTAGATTGCTGAAAGAAGTGATACATACAGCTGGAGAGCCTCTTCTCAACATTATTAATTCCTCATTATATTTAGGCCACGTCCCAAAACCTCTCAAGTTAGCAGTTATTAAACCTCTTCTTAAGAAACCTAAACTGGACCCTAATGAATTATCAAATTACTGACCAATTTCAAACCTTCCGTTTATATCTAAAATATTAGAAAAGGTTGTGTCTGCTCAATTATGCTCCTTCTTACAGGAAAACAATATCCTTGAAGAATTTCAGTCAGGTTTCAGGCCCCATCATAGCACAGAAACTGCGCTAGTAAAAATCACAAATGACTTGTTTTTAGCTTCGGGCCAAGGCTGCATCTCAATATTAGTCTTACTTGATCTTAGTGATGCATTCGACACTATAAATCATAGCATTCTCGTAGATCGCTTACAAAATCACACAGGTATTCAGGGACAGGCATTAAAATGGTTTAGATCCTACCTGTCTGATCGATACCATTTTGTAGATTTAAATGGAGAACTATCCAGTGTAATGCCAGTGAAATATGGGGTTCCACAAGGATCAGTTTTAGGACCTCTGCTGTTCTCAATTTACATGCTTCCCTTGGGTAACATTATTAGAAGACTTGGGATTAGTTTCCATTGTTATGCTGACGATACCCAGTTATGCATCTCATCAAAACCAGATGAAATAAATAAATTGTCTAGATTAACTGAGTGTGTTAAAGATATAAAAGATTGGATGACTGATAATTTTCTATTACTAAATCCTGATAAGACAGAAATATTACTTATTGGTCCAAAAACCAGTACACAAAAGCTCTCACAATTCAGCTTGCATTTAGAAGGATGTACTATTACAACTAGCTCA